AATACAGTCAGAAATGGTCATTTAGTAAGGTTTATATTAAACTCACGAAATTAAAAGACACTTGTTCCTTGGAAGAAAAGCTATGACAAGCCTAGACAGCATATTAAAAAGCAGAGACATTACTTTGCCTACAAAGGTCTGTATAGTCAAAGGTATGGTTTTACCAGTAGTCATGAACAGATTGAGATTTGGACCATAAAGAAGGCTGAGTGCTGTAGAATTGATGCTTTTAAATTGTTGTGGTGCTGGAGAAGACTCGAGAGTCCCTTGAATTGCAAAGATATCAAACCAGTCAATCCTAAAGGAAAACAACCCTTAATGTTCACCGGAAGGACTGATGCTGAAGCTCAAATACTTTGACCACATGATGCAGAGAGCTGACTCATTAGAAAACACCTGATGCTGGGAAAGATTGAAGGCAGAGGGAGAAGGGGATGACAGAGGATGAGATGGTTGGATGGCCTCATGGACTCGATGGACATGAGTTTGAGCAAACTCTGGGAGATGGAGAAGGACAGGGAAGACTGGCGTGCTGCAGTCCATGGGGTCACAGAGTCAGACATGACTTAGCGACTGAATCACAACATTAAACTCATACGCTCTGCCTTAAAAAATTAGGAAACATACAATCCACATAGAAGATTTCTCTGGAAATATTGAATTTACACATTTAGAAGGATTTATTTCAGGTATTTGGAAAATCTATCAAAGTGAAATACCTCATTCTCCAATAATGCTGTGTTTCTGCTCTGATCCAGTCCTCTGGCCTGTGTGCCCCACACACGACCACATACTTGGTGAACAGATACTAAAAACACACCCCAGACATGCTTTGCTATTTTCAGCAACTGCCCCAGACCCTCCCACATCACTTGCCCCTTTTCTCCCATCCAATTCCATTCCAGCGTGCAGCCAGCGTCTGTTCCAAAGCTCTGGCCTGCCTTTTGCTGCCTGCACTCATAAGTGGACCTGATGACAAAATTTAGCTTCCCTGAATCCAACCTTTGGGATTTCCTGGAAAATAGCTGCATGTACGCACATCAGCTATCCATGAGTTCTCACTGGGCCTTTGCACCTCAGAGCTCACCCTAGCTTTAGCCCAAAGTTGATCTGGACTTGAACTGGCTGCCCTCAGAGCTCACCATGACTGTTCTTATATTCAACATGAACTGAAAAAAGACCTTTTTTATATAAAAAGGACACAACCAGCACAACATCAATAAGGATGCAATTTGAGTTGTTCCTGAGTCAGTGATTTTTCTTTTTAGAAGTGGTTAACTCATAGAATCATAAATCTTTGTTGTTGATGTTCAGCCACTAAGTTGTATCTGACCCTTTGTGATGTGACCCCGTGAACTGCAGCACACCAGGCTTCCCTGTCCTTCACTATCTCCCGGGGTTTCCTCAAACTCACATCTCAAACTCATAAATCTTAAGGCTTAAATTATCCTTAAAGTTTGCTATCAATCTTAACCTGAATACTGTCTGCAAAACTACCAAACTCAGTGTACATGGGATTCTCTGGTTTTCAGAAATTTTAAGAAAACAAGGAAGAGGTACTCAGTCCATAGCTGTGACACAGACCAAAGCTATGAAAAAAAAAAGAGTTAATGTAAGGATTAAACCAGTGACCTTGGCTTGTTTAAAGTAGAAAAAAAGAGCTATCTAGCCACAGTTACAGAGTCTGTGAAAAACCCAAACACATCCACTAAGTTTTACAAGTTTTTAATAATGTTAATTTTTGTATAAGGTAAAAGAGGATTAAATGACCATTATTTGCATTATTCAGATGTTCTTTAATTTAAAACTAAATTACATTTAACCACATGACCTGGGTTTCAAAACACATAAAGACCACAAACTCACTTTTATAAAACAAGTTGTGTATATAGCACAGGGAACTCTACTCAATACACTGTAATAGCCTATATAGGAAAATAATCTAAAAAAAAGAGTGGATATATGTATGTGTATAATGATTCACTTTGCTGTATATCTGACATTAACACAACACTGTAAATCAACTACACTCTAATAAAAATTTAAAATAAAAATAAAAAATTTTAAAAAGAAAAAAAAAACCAAGTTATCTATAACCTCTGACTGAAGGCAAATAAAATGGCAAACATCCCAGCATCCACACATTGCCCTTGCAATTGAAACTTTTATTCTACTATTAATATTTTCAGGTGCTATGGAAAAACTGAGTTCTGTAGACCAAAAGTAAATATGTAATAGCATTACAATAGCCACAAAAGATCTGAGTGTTGGGCACATGCATATGCGCGTGCACACACACACACACCCAGAGCAAGAGTGCCAATGGACATACGCCTGCAGCTAAGTTTGTTTCATTTACACTGCTCCTCATTTTTTCCTAGCCAGTTGAGCATAATGTTAGCATGAGGAGCTCTTTGAATAATAACATATCTGATTTCACAGTAACTCTCAACCAATAGCTTTCAAAGCTGCCTGGCTCCAATTTTCAACTTTCAGGTCCCTGAACCATTTTACCTTTGGGGCACAACTCAGTAATACAAAGTATCAAAATAATGAGACTTGAATAATAATAAAGAACAAAATGAGCTCTAGAGGCCAGGGAGAAGAACCTTCTGGTTTAAGCATCACCATTCACATTCCTACTACTGGGAACCCCACTTAGGTCTCTGCTTCTCTACTGACACTATTGGGGAAGTCATTGAACAATTTCTGTGAAATGGATCCCATAGTCTGGTCTGTGGTCTCTGAGGGATTCTAGATCCTTCTCTGCCTCTTCCAGGTCGGGTCTCTTCAACTCTTGTTATTCTTTTAAACCCACTCTTTTCAGACCTCTATGCTTACTCCTTATCTTCCCGTCATCATCTGAGCAGTGAACTTGGTCCAGAAAGAGTTTTTCTGCCTGATGGCTGCCAGAGTGCTGCCTGATCCTTGCTCTCACCACCAAGACGGCCCAGGTGATGGCCCAGAGAAACTTGAGCCTGGGTAGTGATCCTGTCTCCCCCTAGTGGTGGCCTCCAACAGCTTGCGCTGTGTACAGAACTTGTTTCTCAAGTTACAGTCTTAAAGAGTCTGTGGATTTAAAGCTAATAATTCAGTCCTCTTCATAAATTGGTTATTCTAAGTGCTGGTTATAGAGGTGTGTTATATTTGTTAAAATTAATAGACCTGAATACTCATGATATTTTTTGTACATATGCTTCAACAATTTTTTAAAAAAAATTTATACAGTTTTTAAAGGTTACTTTCCATTTCCAGTCATTTCAAAGTATTGGCTATATTCCCCATGTTGTACAATACATCCTTGAGCCTATCTTAGACCTAAAGTTTGTACCTCCCTCTCCCTCACCCCTATATTGCCCTCCCCCACTGGTGATCACTAGTTTGTTCTCTACTTCTATGAGTCTGCTTCTTTTTTTGTCATATTCATTGGTTTCTTGTATTTTTTTAGCTTCCATAGATAAATGATGTCATATAGTATTTGTTTTTCTCTGTTTGACTTAATTCACTTAGTGTAAGGCTGTCCAAATCCAACCATTTTGCTGCAAATGGCAAAAGTTTGTTCTTTTTTATTGCTGAGTAATATTCCTGTGTGTGTGTGTGCACATGCATGTGTGTGCACACACATGCATATCACATCTTCTTATCCATTCATCTGTTGATGGACACTTAGGTTGCTTCTGTATCTTGACCATTGTAAACAATGCTGCTATCAACACTGGGGTGCAGTCAACAAATATTTTTAAGTTAAGTGAACAGATGATGATTTTTAAAATGCTGCCATGTCAATAATATTTTCCCCTAATGTAAACAAGTAAAACTCAACTTCCAGAGGAACAGAAATTGTAACAAGACTCATGTTCTGTGAACATGTATTAAGTACAATTTGATCAATATAGCTAATGATTCTCCAGGCTGAATTTCCTAACAGCAGTTACTGGAACCTAAGAGCTTTGTCCTTTCCCACTAAAAGTGAACATATTGGTTAAAGGATAGAGTACAATAGCGATTAGAAGCATTGTTCTATACTCTTTAAACTTGCATTGCACTGTCACTATTTCTCCCTGTTTGTTCCCAGGCTAAGAGTGCTATACAGATGGTAGAACTTCCAACAGAATATTCATAAAAAAAATTGCTCCCACCCAACCCAAAACCTCAAAAATATTCTCAATGAGCTTGAACATCCCTTGAGAATACATCAAACAATGGCTTTTCTTGATTAAAGAGATTTGTTTTATGATTCTTTTAAAGGAGGCCTTTAAATTCAGTCATTTGAGAAAATGTTTGATGCAGTTTTGCACTCCATTTATAGATTAGCAGTAAATCTGTAAGTCTAGTAAAGAACATTCTACAATTAAAAAAAAAAGGATCTATTCTACAGAACCGAAATCCTGTGCCCAGAAAACACTCCCATGCTACCTTTTTCCCTTTCTCTGAACTGATACTACAAAGGGAATTTTACATGCTAATGAGAAGGTCAGATGAAATCTCTTTGGCAGTGGAATCTATCCCTTTCAAGGGCCAGATTCTTTCTCTGTAACTACTGCTTATAACTGACAATAGCTTATTGTTCCACTTCTTGTTGAGTGATGGAGATGTGCCTGAGAAAGGCATTCGTGGAGGGAGGGAGGGACCGAGGGAAGGAGGTATGTTCTTTTTTCTTTCTTTCTTTTTTTAAAGTGAAATAGCTTTGAAAAACTCTGAGTGCAGACACTGTTGTTAAAAGGAACAGTTCCAACTCTCATGATGACTTTTTCCCTCAAAGAACTGTGTGCAATCATTAATCAGTGCTTTCCACGGGTCAGTCTGTGTCACAGAGAAATGTTAGTGCTTTGAACATCCTTTAGGAGCTGGGGAGAAAAACAGCCTAGAAAAAAGCATTGCAGAGAATCGCACTTTATAAATTTTAATTAGTGAAAATATTTTTTGGAAAGAGACCCTCTCATATCACACACAGTTCATTCATCCAGGAGATGGTGGAGGACAGGGAAACCTGGTTTGCTGCAGTCTAGGGGGTCACAAAGTATTGGACATGACTGAGCAACGGAACAAGCCAGTTTTGATAAAAACTCATTTTGAGTTTTCATAATCCCCCAATTTAAAATTTTTATCTATGGCTTAGAATCCACAAATAATATTTTTATTTTTGTTTAGTCATTAAAATCTAACATTCTAAAACAGGAGTCTGGAGACCTGTTTCTAGCTCTGTCACACCATAGTCATAAGACCTTCATTATGACTTTAACAATCCACGCTATAGGTTCTTCATCACAAAGACTAAAGCTTCTTCCAAACACTAAAATTGTACGATTCTGAAAAATTTCTCCTCTCCCCACATCCCCCTGTGCCAAGATGTTTATGCACCAATTGCCGTAACCTGGGTAGTGTTACTTTACCTGTCAAGAGGAAAATTGCAGATGTGATCAAAGTTAAAAATCTTGAAATGAGATTATCCTAGGTTATCCAGGTGGGCCTAACATAATCGCAGAGTTCCTTTAAAAAGGGATACAGGAGAAGTCAGTCAGAGAGAAGGCTTTGTGACGATGAAGGCAAAGATCTGATTTTGTGGCCCCAACCTAAGGAATCCCAGCCTCTTCTAGAACCTGGAAGAGGCAAGGAATGGATTTTTTCCCTTGAGCCTCAAGAAGGAACCAGTCCTGCCAACACCTTGGCTTAGCTTAGTGAGACTGATTTCAGACATCTGGCCTCCAGAACTGTAGAATACATTTGCATTGTTTTATGCCGCTAAGTTAGTGGTAATTTGTCACAGCAGCTGTAGGAAATGAATGCTCCATATTAGGGAGAAGGACTTCTCATTGGTGCTGTGAGGAACTCTGTGGACCTTCTCCTCAGTGAAAAAATCATACCTAATGAAAATTATACAAACAATAATCATCTAAAGCCTCTGAAAATTATCCTAAGGATATGTAGAAAATGGAGAGATAGTTATTTAAGAAAATCTACTAGATCTCATGAAGAATATCAAGACTTCAGCATTCAACTTACAACTTCCTACCTGTCTCCCAGTTCAATGTAATGGAAGATCTATTCTGGGTGGGTGTGGCCAAGAAGGACGTTGTCTTTCTTTCTTCAGACTGGTCTAGTCAGGAAAAATCAGGCAAGAGTATTTTAAAAAGGCATTCCAATTGTAAAGAAAGAAGTAAAACTATCTCTGTTTGCAAATAACATGATCCTATGTACAGAAGATACTAAGGAATCTACTAAAAACCTGTTAGAACTAATAAATGAGTTTAGTGAAGTGGCAGGGTACATGGTCAATATAGGTAAATCAGTTGTATTTCTATCCAATAATACTTAACAATTGTAATTCTATCCATCAGCAATATATAATCCAAAATCAAAATTAAGAAAACAATTCTATTTACAGTGGTATCAAAAAGAATAGAATAGTTATGAATAAATTTAGCAAAAGAAATGCAAAATGTGTACTCAGAAAACTAAACACTGTTGAAAGAAAGATCTAAATAAATGAAAGAGGAAGACATTTTATGCTTATGGATTGGAAGATTCAATATTGTTAAGATGACTGTACTCCCCAAATTGATCTACAGATTCAATGCAATCTTATGAAAATCTCATCTACCTTTCTTTTTTTTGCAGAGATTGGGAAGTTGATCTTAAAATTTACATTAAATACAGCCTATATTCATACAAAGAATATATAAAGAACTCTTGCAACTCAACAATGAAAAGACAAACAATCCAATTTTACAATGGGCAAAGTTTTTGAACAGACATTTCTCTTTTAAACCTCTTTTTTTGTTGGTTTTTGGCTGTGCTGTGTGGCATGAGGAATCTTAGTTCCCTGACAGTGATCAAACCCATGCCCTCTGCAGTGGATGTGCAAAGCCTTAACCACTGGACCATCAGGGAAGTCCCTGAATAGACGTTTATCCAAAGACAATATACAAATAGCCATCGAGCATATGAAAAGATGCTCAACATCATTAGTCATCAGAAAAATAAAAATAAAATCCATGATGAGATACTATTTCACACACTAGGATGGCTTTAATAAAAACAGNGCATATTAAAAAGCAGAGACATTACTTTGCCAACAAAGGTCCATCAGGTCAAGGCTATGGTTTTTCCAGTGGTCAAGTATGGATGTGAGAGTTGAACTGTGAAGAAAGCTGAGTGCCAAAAAATTGATGCTTTTGAACTATGGTGTTGGAGGACTCTTGAGAGTCCCTTGGACTGCAAGGAGATCCAACTAGTCCATCCTCAAGGAGATCAGTCCTTGATGTTCATTGAAAGGACTGATGCTGAAGCTGAAACTCCAATACTTTGGCCACCTCATGCAAAGAGTTGACTCATTGAAAAAGACCCTGATGCTGGGAGGGATTGGGGGGAGGAGGAGAAGGGGACGACAGAAGATGAGATGGCTGGATGGCATCACCGACTCGATGGGCATGAGTTTGAGTAAACTCCAGGAGTTGGTGATGGACAGGGAGGTCTGGCGTGTTGTGATTCATGGGGTTGCAAAGAGTCAGACACGACTGAGTGACTGAACTGAACTGAACTAAAATGGTGCTACTACTTTGGAAAAAGGCAGTTTCTGAAAGTGTTAAATATAGAGTTACCTTATGACTCATCAATTCCATTCCTAGATATATACCCAAGAGATATAAATACATATATCCACACAAAAACTTGTACATATGTATCTATAGAAACATTGTTTGTAATAACCAAAAAATGGAAACAATCCAAACGTCCATCAACTGAGGAATGAATAAACAGAATGTAGTACATCCATACAATGGAATATTATTGAGCAGTACAAAGAAATTAAGAACTGATACATGCTACAATATAGATGAACCTTGAAAACATTATGCTAAATGAAAGAAGTCAGCCACAAAGACCACAAATTATAAGCTTCCTCTATATGAAATAACCAGGATATGACAATCTATAGAAATAGAAGATAGATTAGTGGTTGATCCAAGCTGGGGGACAAGGGAGGGGAATGAGAAGTGACTGCTAGTGGGTATAAGGATTCTTTTGGGAGTGGTTGAGTTTTTTTTTTAATTTAAAGTGTATTTTAGTTTTCTGTTCATTTACTCATACTGCAGACATTTATGAGTCACCAGGAAGTGCTCAGTACTGAAAAGTTAAACAAAAAACACTTTCTGCACCTACTACTAAGCCTGGCAATACTATGTGCTTAAAAATAAGTTTTGAATAGATTAATAGATGCATAGAATAGGTCTGGTAAGTAGAAGTGTTCTGTTTGTATTTATTTTTATAAAACTTTATTAAAGTATCAGAAATGGGATTTTACCAAGAACAGGTAACATTTATATCCTAACTTCCTTTATTTTACAAGTTAGATGTTATAAACTAGTAGGTGGACTGCAAAAACCAATAGCAATAACAAAATTATCGGCCAATGTAGTAAGCTAGGTATAACAAAAATGTTCTGGGGCTTATTTGTCAGGAAAAAATGGGTTCAAATATTGTCTCTGGCACTCACTACCAATGTGATCTAACACAAATTATTTAAGTGTTAGTTACCTCATCAATTAAAGGGGAATAATAATAATAATATACTCCCTACCTGGTAAGGTTATTATTATAGGCATATTTCAGAGATACTGTGAGTTTGGTTCCAGACCACCACAATAAAGGGAATATCACAACAGAGTGACTCACAAGATGTTTGTTTTCCCAGTGCATATAAAAGTTCCATTTACTCTGAACTGTAATCTAGTAAGTGTTCAATAAACTTGAAAAAAAGTATACACACCTTAATTTTAAAAATATTTTATTGTTAAAAAATTCTAACTATCATCTGAGCCTTCAGCAAATTGTAACCTTTTCGATGGTGGAGGATCTTGCCAGGATTTTGATGGCTCCTGGCTTAATCAGAATGGTGTTTACAGAAGGCTGGGGTGACTGGCAATTTCCTCATGTAAGACAACAATGAAATCTGCTGCAGCAATTGACTCTTCCTTTCCAGAACCATTTCTCTGTACCAGGCAATGCTGTTTGATAGCATTTTGCTCACAGTAGGACTTCTTTCAAAACTAAAATCAATCCCGTCAAACAGTCTTAGCAACTAGGTTTACTTAATATTCTAAATCCTTTGTTGCCATTTCAACAATCTCTACACCATCTTCACCAAGAATAGATTCTATGGGAAAAAAAAAAAATACTTTCTTTGCTTATCAATTTAGAAGGAACTCCTCATCTGCTCAAGTTTTATCGTAAAATTGCAGCAATTCAGTCACATCTTCACGTTCCACTTCTAATTCTAGTTATCTTGCTGTTTCCATCACACTTGTAGTTACTTCCTCTACTGAAATCTTGAAACCAGCAGTCATTCATGAAGTTTAGAAACAACTTCTTTGAAACTCCTGCTAATATTGGCAGTTTTACTTCTTCCCATGAATCACAAATGTTCTTAATGGCATCTAGAATCTTTCCAGAAGGTTTTCAATTTACTTTGTTCAGATCCATCAGAGGACTCACTATCTATGGCAGTTATAGATTTATGAAATGCATTTTGTAAATCATAAGACTTGAAAGTAAAAATTACTCCTTAATCCATGGGCAGCAAAATGGGTATTATGTTAGAAGGCAGGAAAATGACATGAATCCCATCACACATCTTTGTCAGATCTCCTGGGTGACCACATGTGCTGTCAGTGAGTGGTAATATTTTGAAAGGAATCTTTTTCTCCAGGCAGTAGGTCTCAACAGTGAGCTTAAAATATTCAGCAACCCATGTTGTGAACAGATGTGCCATAATCCAAGCTTTGTTGTTCCACTGATAGGGCACAGGAAAAGTAGAGGTCTCATCATTCTGAAGGGCCCTCAGATTTTCAAAATAGTGAACATTACCGAAGTTTAATCCTTGGGTCAGGAAGATTTCCTGGAGAAGGGAATGGCTACCCACTCCAGTATTCTTCACTTCAGTATTCCAGTATTCTTCTCAGTAATTCTCTACTTCTGGAGAATTCAATGGACAGAGGAGGTTGGTGGGCTATCGTCCATAGGGTTACACAGAGTCTGCAAAGAATATAATCATCTGATTTTGGTCTTGACCATCTGGTGATGTCCACGTGTAGAGTCTTCTCTTGTGTTGTTGGAAGAGGGTGTTTGCTATGACCAGTGTGTTCCCTTGGCAAAACTCTGTTAGCCTTTGCCCTGCTTCATTTTGTTACTCCAGGTTTCTCTTGACTTCTTAGTTTTGCATTCCAGTCCCCTATGATGAAAAGGACATCTTTTTTGGGTGTTAGTTCTAGAAGGTTTTGTAGGTCTTCATAGAACCAATCAACTTTAGCTTCTTCAGCATTACTGGTCGGGGCATAGACTTGGATTACTGTGATATGGAATGGCTTGCCTTGGAAATGAACAGAGATCATTCTGTCATTTTTGAGACTGCACCCAAATACTGCATTTCAGACTCTTTTGTTGACTATGAGGGCTACTCCATTTCTTCTAAGGGATTCTTGCCCACGGTAGATATAATGGTCATCTGAATTAAATTTGCCCATTCCAGTCCATTTTAGTTCACTGACTCCTAAAATGTCAATGTTCACTCTTGCCACCTCCTGTTTGACCACTTCCAATTTACCTTGATTCATGGACCTAATGTTCCAGGTTCCTGTGCGATATTGTTCTTTAGAGCACTGGACTTTACTTCCATCAACAGTCACATCCACAACTGGGCATTGTTTTTGCTTTGGCTCCGTCTCTTCATTCTTTCTGGAGTTATTTCTCCACTGATCTCCAGTAGCATATTGGGGACCTACTGACCTGAGGAATTCAACTATTTAGTGTCATTACTATTCACAATACCTCCATGTTATAGGCTGAAAATCTGTGTCCTCCACAAATTCTTACATTGAACACCCACCATGATCATGTTGAAGGTGGTGCCTTTGGGAGGTAATTAGGGTTAGATCAGGTCTTGGAACCCCCATGATGGAATCAGTGTCCCCAGAAGGGGATAAGGAGACCAAGGTTCTCTCACTCCACCATGTGAGGAAACAGAGAGAAGGCAGTTGCTTGAATCAGGAGTAGGGCCCTAATCAAGAACTGATCATGCTGGCACCCTGATCCTGGACT